TGATATTGATTGATTGTGTTTTCTTCTACAACCTCAGTGCAGAAGAACTACTTTCAGAATCGAGAGTTCTCCTTCACACTCAAAGATGACATCTATGTCCGCTACCAGTCGTTCAGCACGCAGGCCGAGCTGGAGAAAGAAATGCTGAAGATGAACCCGTACAAGATTGACATCGGAGCCATTTACAGTCACAGGGTGAGACTTGCATGCATCTTCTTTTGCTTGTGTGTGTGTGTGTGTGTGTCAACAGAGACATATCATGGATAAATCTGTTTGTCACCCACAGCCCAATCAACACAACACAGTGAAGTCAGGAACCTTCCATGCCCTGGAGAAGGAGCTGGTGTTTGATATTGATATGACAGATTATGATGATGTCAGAAGCTGCTGCAGGTGAATTCTTCACGTGGTTTATTTTGTTCAATTCAGCGTGTCTTGACAGTGACATCACTGAGCTAACATAAACTCTCATATTAGTGCTGCAGACATTTGCTGCAAGTGCTGGATCCTGATGACCATCGCCATCCGCATCCTCGACAGAGCTCTTCGAGGTTGGTTTCTTGTGGCACGTTATCTTCGATTTTCTGCTGAATTATCATCAAACACATTTTTTTTTCTATTTTCTAGATGACTTTGGTTTCCAGCAGCTGCTGTGGGTTTATTCCGGCAGAAGAGGAGTGCATTGCTGGGTGTGTGATGAAGCTGCCAGGAAGCTCTCTGTAGCAGCGCGCTCTGCAGTTGCAGAATACCTTAGCCTGGTTAAGGTAACAGTATTGTACCTTTTTATAGATGATTATAACAGATCTAGTTATTGGCAGCAGAGTTTTGCATTCAGCATCGTGTGCATCAGTGTGTTTCTCTCAGGTAAAACAGTGCCCAACCAAAACATTGGTCTTATTTCAGATAAACTTGCATATTTGACGGCCGATAAGTAACACAAAATTGTAGTTTAAAAAAAATAGATATTTCTCTGACTAGATATGTCGGATATTTATTTTTTTTCTTCTCTTCACAAAACCGCTGAGTTAATGTGTTTTGATGTTCTATTCACTGCTGTTTTTTAGGGAGGTGACGAGACGGTGAAGAAAGTTGTGCTCACAGATCCAATTCATCCTTTCATCAGGTAAGAATCCGACCGTTTTCAGAGTGACGGTCAGTTTTGAAGCTGTAGCTGAGTTTGTTCCGTTTGTCTCTAAATTTGACGACTGTCATTGAGGTTGCTGCCTCTGACAGATCTTGCAGCTTCAAGGGTTTAAGAGTCTTGTACCTGTGATGTCAACAGGGAGTCTCTGACGTTGGTGGAGCGATACTTTCCCCAGTACGCACTACAGGAACAGGACATACTGGGCCGCAAGGAATCTGTAGACAAAGTGTTGGCGCTCATGCCGGAAGATATCCTTTTTTAGCTAAAGGGTGGAGAGAAAAAAATAGTTTTCTTTCTCTGAAATGTGATTCTGAAATAAGAGAGCATGATGTCTTTTTCTGTTTGGTTAAAACCTTTGTGAAAATAACTGGACTTGACCTTAACTTCAGCTTTCACATGTGAGAAAAGAATTGCAGCAAGACTTCCAAAACGAGAAGAAACCAGAGAACCGTTGGAAGCTGGTGAAGGATCAAGCCAAAAGGAAACAGGTTGGTAATTCTGCTCACATCGCATGATGAGAGTTGTTTAACCCTGAATTTATTTTTTAAATATTACAGCTCGACGGCTTATAATGAACACCCGCACAATGATGTAATCTCTCTTCCCCCAGGGCACTTCCAAAAAGGGCCAATACTTTGAGAAAGAAATCATGCTGCAGTATTGTTACCCGCGGCTCGACGTGAACGTCAGTAAAGGGGTGAACCATTTGCTGAAGAGTCCCTTCAGTGTCCACCCCAAAACAGGTGAGCGTAGATCTAATGGGATCTGATCAAGATGGTGTGGTGGATACACCATCTCACTGTGGCTTCTCTCTTTTCAACTCTGGCCAGGGCGCATTTCTGTTCCCATGGACCTCAAAGAATTAGAGACGTTTGATCCTTTTGCTGTGCCCACAATCAGGTGAGCGATAATTTAATGCTCTGCTGTGTGCAGTGTTTGATGTTCATCAGAGATGATGTTACTTTTTAAAATTTATTTTTCAGTCAGATCTGTGAGGAGCTGGATCGACCGAGGACAGGCGAAGACGAAGAGAAGTCCGAGGACGCCAAGGAGAAGGAAAACGAGAAGGACGCAGCCGAGAGACGAAAGATCAGAGGTGAGATTGTGAAAGCTAAATTTCAGGCTCATTGTATCACACAGAAGAGCCTATAAGTAGGTCAACACGAGGTAATCTCAAAAAATAATTTCTGTCTCAAAATGAGGCAAATGTGGTTCATCAACTGTGACATCATGAACCTTAATTCAATATGAAAATACACTGCTGTTACTGAACAAATGTGTGAGGCCTCATGTGCTTCTCTTCCAATAATAAGATAGGACTCATCAAATTCATGTTTCATTATAATAATTAGTCGTTAAAAGCAGGATGATTTAATTTTTACCCTAACCACCAATGAGAACCCAAGGATCTTTAGTTTATTCTAAAGCTCACTGATTGTTCTTTTCTTGACAGATTACAAACGAACCAGCCTGGCGAAGTATGTGAAATACTTTGATCAGTTTCTGGATGGGTTGGCTCGCTCGTGGAAAGGAGAACTTCTCAAAAAAAGTGGTCCGTATTATTCGTGGATGAAATGAGGGCAGAGCGACTTTTAAGAAGTTCTTTCATGTAATACATTTTATTTATTTTTTAGATCTTCAGAAAGACTTCTGAACTGGATCAACAATCGGGACGTGATGCAGAAGACACATTGTTAATAGCTCCTTATTGCTTAATCTGTTTAATTTCACTCGTCAGAGACTCTGTAATAATACATTCATAAACAAAATATATGCAAATGATCTCCTTACTCAAGAATACCAATGTCATGTTGTTTGCCTGTTCTTTTTCTATTGTACAGTCATTTGTGAAAATAAATTTGATATTTCATCTTTTTCGAAATCTTGTATTCAATTGACTTTTATTAAGACCACAAGACGTTTTGCAGATTTATTTTTGTTATCTGGAATAGCAAGCAGCTAGGTTAGTTTGTTCATTTGATAAACAATATTTCTCACTGATAAATATGTGGCTGATGGAGTCTGTTTATAGTTGTAATATATTATTCATAAATTAGGGTTTTAGTTCTCCAGTGTTAGTGTGGTTAATTTGCTCCTTCTTAACTGCAGTCATCCAGGTTTCGTCGAGGCATCTAGTGTACATTGTTTGTATCTAGCCTGTAAATAATGTTATTGAGGTTTTGCCACAAACCACAGTGTAAAGCTTTACGTCTTGTATTCCAGCCTGGGTGTGCTTTTAATTGGAATCTCTATTTAAACTTCCACTAATGTATCTCTATACAGTGCTGCAATGTTACTAAGCAAATTTACTACAATTTATCAAATAATATAGTGACTTTCAGATATAGGTTTTACATATGAAACATAAAATCTTATGACCAGTGATACACTGTATAGACTAATCTTCCCAACGGTATGTATATAAAGTAGTTTAAATGACCTCCAGATTGATCAATTACACTGTTATGAAAAGTACATTTTGCATTCTGTACTTATGTAGATGTTTTTAATGTCTTTACTTGTTTTACTTGCTGTGGTGTGTTTTTACATTGTTGTATTGCTGCTTTTACTCAAACCAACTCACCTGTTTTGTAGTAACAGCTGTCAGTTGGCTTGACTGACATTCGTAGAAGAAGTATAATGTAGCATAAAATAGGCAAGTATAAATACTCAAAATGTATTGTAGTTTAGTAAAATGCAGTTTTTTTCAAGAAGCCAACGTCTTTAATATTACTGTATATGGATGTGATTAGAATTTTTTATGGTAAAGAAAAAAGACAGATTTTGCCTTTTAAATAACCCGGAAGTAGAAAGTGCTCCTCTAAACCGGATATTACCGTGAAGCTGAGGTCAGAAGTTCTCTCTCACAGCCATCTTGGATATAGCTTCCTGAGTCGGTGAGTATCTCCGCTGATAATCCAACATCATCCAGCCGTTTTTCATATGTTCCCGTCTGTATTTAATGTTTCATACGTTAAAGTAAAGTAGTGTCATCAGGCCGGTGCAGATATGTGTCCGCTTTCGTCCCTCGGTCCTCTGATATAAGTCCCGTTGTACCGCTGATTACCTGCTCAAAATGGGGGAACATGATGACTTCCCAGTTTACTAGCAGGCTGTTTAGGGCCTCAGTGAGCTGTGAGACTATTTGTGTGAGGGTTTAATTGTGTGACAACTTTAAATCTTCGTAAAATGTAATGGTAGGTTGTGTTACTTGTCGTTAGCTTCCCCCGCTCGTTAAGCCTGTTGCTAGCAGTTAGCTAACAGAAGCTAACGTTAGCTAAATGTTGCTCCAATCGAGAGTAGGGAGCTAAAGCATGGGCTCAGTCACCTGTTCAACCAGCTGCAAGTCTGTCTGAATGGGCTCACTACTCCGTGCTAATCCGCTAAATGTCCCATACGTTATCTTGCCTACATTTTGTTTTACACCACTAGTAGTTTACAATGATTTTAGCTTTGAGCTAATAAACTGTTTATTTCCTCTCTAGCAATCATGCCTGGTGAAGCCACAGAAACGGTCCCAGTTACCGAGCAGGAGATGCAGCAGCCTCAAGTGGAGACCGGTTCGTATATCTAAAACTTCTCTTCAACGTGCATGTAACATGCAAATTAAAACAATGGGGTCCTGGAACTCAACGAACGGGGTGACATGTTCAACAAATGGCCGTCTATGGGAGGTTATTTGTTGAGTAAGGGGAACAATAATGGATGATTGGACGGTTATTTGGTTCATGAAGTTGACTCAGCTGGCCAGACACTGAGCTGATGTAACAGGTGATGGTTAGTTTGACTGTCACCGGCCATGTGTTGAGATATTTGTAACAGTAGTTTGCCCACTGATGGATCGGCAGTGGTGATATTGTTTGCCTCGGTTTGAAAAGAGTAATCCAGGACCCCTATTTGTATTTACTCAAACTCACAATGGTGTGTGGTGACTTGCACTGACAACTGGATTTAGCACACAATGCATGGTGTTGTGTGTTTTGTTTTCCCTGTGCACAAAAAAATGCCTTCAACCGACTTTGCATAGATTAAAAGTTGCCTATTTACTTTGAGCTATTCAAATAAACTTGACGTATATTGTTATTAGTATGGTAAATGTGTTCAAGTTATTTTTTAAAGTGATAAGCTGGCACCAAAGCATACTTTGCATAATGGTGGACATCTTTTGAAAGTCAGAATATTGTAAATGGTTCCCCTTTTCACCAAAATTTGGTATTAACTGGTTAAAAGTGATCAATGGATTTGCCTGATACTCAAACACATCCGTAATCCTGGATGTTTGAGTATCGGGTTAGCGTGCTGGTTAAAAAAAGATTTCTGCATACTTCTCATTGTTTTGATACATTTTTGTGCTGGCATTGGAGACTGTGTGGACATAACATCACATTATTGTTTGGAAATACAAACTCCATTGCAACAAAAGACTCAGATGACAGATTTCTCATTTCAATAAATGCTTGTCCTAAATAACAATGGATAGGAAAAATACTGATGCAGTTTCAACTTAGGGCTGCACAGTTGATCTAATATTAATAGCGATCACAATTTTGGCTTCCCACAATTAAATGAGCACGATGGCCTGCGATGTTGACGTTCGTGCCCCCGACTAAGCTTTGCAGTGCCCCTCGTCTGGACCTGGCTGTGCGCGGGGCTGTGGACTTGTGCCTGCTCTGCCCGCTCTCCCTGTGGGAAGAAATGGTGCTCCCGGCGCGACAATCGAAAGAGTCTTTATCGTCATTTTGGCCATAATGTTATAGCCCTTCTTTAACCTGGGATGGTCATTACTGGACACTACTTAAAATAAGGTCACATGATGGGTCATTATTTCATAGGGATTGTGTTTTTGCCGGCATCTTTTCACAACACTATTACAATGCTCTCATCTTAGAATGAAAGGGTTTTTGAAATGGATTTCAAAGGGATTTTGGATGTTAAGTATTGGCTCCGTAGACTTTGTTATGGAACATTACAATAATGGGACACACACTGCTTTCTAAACAATTCAAGGCTTTAGTAAATATATGCATAGCTTATTTTCATGCAAAGTTGTGCATTGATCTTCTGGTGTTTATCTCACATGGACGCTGCATGGGGTTTGGGATGTGGGATTATTTTTTTCTTAACTGCACCTAACACCCCCCCACCTTTTCAACTTTGGCAAACCAAGAGCCGATAACACGTCGATTAACTTTTCACAAACTCATCGTTTCTGTCGACATGTGGAGCACGATTTCTTTCTCACTTCACAGTGTATTCCTGTAGCTCTTTAAAATTTCCGTTGAATTAGAATTGCTCCCCGAACACTTACTGTGATTGCCCCTTCCCCCTGTTACTCCTGTTGCTTTTCCTTAATCAGCTGTAGGAGTATTGAGTTCTTCTGCTCCTCCTGAGATGGCCATTCCTGTGAGCAAAACAATCCCACTGGAGAATCCTCCAGAAACCTCTGTTCCTGCTCAAGAGGCGGACTCCCCAGAAGAAGCTAGCGTTCAGACTACTGGTGATCAAGCAAATGGCGTAGCTGCAACCGAAGAAAAGACCGAGCTTACTGAAGGGACTGAGTTGGCGGCAACGCCTGACCCACAACAACCCAAAACTGCTGACCCAGCAGGGGCCTCGGCTGACCTGCCAGTTCCTGAAGAGCCTGTGCCTTCTGCTGATACTCCCATTGTTTCCTCAGAGGAGCCACATGCTGCCGCTCCAACTGTAGAGGTACAAAGTCAGGAGTCTGTTGTTGCTGCTGAAGAATCGGCCAGCCAAGAGGCGGGGCAGATTTATGTTGAAGCAAAAGTACCTGAGGACAAGCCTAGTGCAGTGGCAGAAGAAATTCCTGATGATCCAAAACCATCTGCTCCTGAAGATGTCATTGCAAACGGTGTGAAGGCAACGGATGCCCCAGTGACTGAGGTAGAAGAGTCAAGGAATCTTTGCCCGGATGCCGCTGAAGATAAAGTATTGCCTATTGAAGTGAATGTCAACGTGGCTACTCAGAATGAGGATCTTGAGAAGAAAGAAGCTGTAACAATTCTCCCCAAGGCCATTCAGTCAAAGGAGTCCTCCAAACGTGAACGACCACCTCATTCCACTTGCCACCTGTCAGGTTGGTTTGTCCTGATAAGCAAGCACTCCCCTCTCCCTACTTTTTGTTGCGATCATTTCAATGAGCTTTTTTTTGATCGGGTTAGGCAAATCTTTTTTCCAGATGGTAACATGAGTGTTACAAGTTCAAATGGACAAAGGTTCAATGTGTCTGATTCCTTATGGCTTTCTTCTTTTATGTGGTGGTTTAGTCAATTTTTTTTTAAAATATTTTTGTCTGCATCTTAAGTGATGAAATCTATGCTAAAGGTGTACATATCAGTCTTTTTATTTCCCTTTTATGACGCATGGTCAGGAACTGCTTTGTTTTTTTTACTGAAGTTACATTTTTATCCATTGTGATACATTATATTTGAGAGGAAATACTTAACTGTACTTGCATTTTGCATTTAAGAAAAGTTAATTTACTTGTCTTATGGTTGGTCAGTTCTACCTTGAAGCATCAGTTCAGTGGAACAATAGCAGGTGTGTTTATGCATCATCATGATGTGGTGATATGTATTGCAAATAGGATTTTCCCGTTTGTCTTAATTGCATCTTGACTAAATACAGAATGTGGATTTCTTTTTTGGAAGTTAGTAGTATGGACTGTGCATTCTGAGTGGCGTTTTGCATCAAACTCTAAAGTTAGACAGGTATGTTCTTTTCCTAACCCTAAGCAAAGAGATTGCGTCTTGGTTTGTGATCATTTAACCCGCATGAGTGCGACCTCCCCTTTTCCCGTCCAAAAATTGAAAGATTGATTTTTCCATTCAGCTACACCTCCTGCCCCAGCTTCCTCCCAGAAACATCAGGCAGCTTCTGGCCCTGCAAAGCCCAAAGGCAAAGATGCCAAGAGTGCGTCGGGCTTTTCTGCCCCAAAGGCTGTCCCTGGCAGAAGAAAACGCTCCTCTATGTCTGCCTCCTCTCCCACCTCACCAAAATCCACTTCTTCCACTACCCCCCTGTCAGCTGTGCAATCTCCCCTAGCTTCCTCACCTGGCAGCTCTTCTGCTAATCAGGCTAAAAGCTTCACCCCAAAAATTGTCAAGGCTGGCAAACAAGGAAAGGCTAAGAAAGGAGAGGCGTTTGTGCCTGTTCCTTCCCCTGTGGAGTGCAAGGTGACACCAGCGATAGAAAAGCCAGTAGAGGCTAACCCCAAGAAAACTGTAGTTGAAGCTAAACCTGCAGCTGCTGCAAAGCTGGTTGCAGCCCCAGCTGCTTTTAAAGTTACCTCTAAGCCTGCCATGGCAGCGCCGGTTTCATTTTCAAATACTCTTGCATCTAGCCCCCCCACATCAGTTGAGTTTAAGACTGCTTCATCAAAATCTGCTCCTGTTGTAGCTGCTGATGATGATCTCCCTCCACTTATCCCACCTGAGAAGACAATTAAAATGCCAGGACCTACACCCTCTGTAGAGGTTATTAAGGTAGCAACCCAACCCGCTCCCGTTGAGGTTGCTAAGCCCAAACCCGCTCCCGTTGAAGTTGCTAAGCCAGCTGCAGAGGCTAAACCCGCTCCCGTTGAAGTTGCTAAGCCAGCTGCAGAGGCTAAACCTGCTCCCGTTGAAGTTGCTAAGCCAGCTGCAGAGGCCAAACCCGTTGACGCTGCTAAGCCCAAACCCGTTGAGGTTGCTAAGCCCAAACCCGCTCCCGTTGAGGTTGCTAAGCCAGCTGTAGAGGCCAAACCCGCTCCCATTGACGCTGCTAAGCCCAAACCCGTTGAGGTTGCTAAGCCCAAACCCGCTCCCGTTGACGCTGCTAAGCCAGCTGTAGAGGCTAAACCCGCTCCCGTTGAGGTTGCTAAGCCCAAACCCGCTCCCGTTGAGGTTGCTAAGCCAGCTGCAGAGGCTAAACCCACTCCCGTTGAGGTTGCTAAGCCCAAACCCGTTGAGGTTGCTAAGCCCAAACCCGTTGAGGTTGCTAAGCCCAAACCCGTTGAGGTTGCTAAGCCCAAACCCGTTGAGGTTGCTAAGCCCAAACCCGCTCCCGTTGAAGTTGCTAAGCCAGCTGCAGAGGCTAAACCCGCTCCCGTTGAGTTTGCTAAACCCGCTCCCGTTGAGGTTGCTAAACCCGCTCCCGTTGAGGTTGCTAAGGCCGCTCCCGTTGAGGTTGCTAAGGCCGCTCCCGTTGAGGTTGCTAAGCCCAAACCTGTTGAGGTTGCTAAGCCCAAACCTGTTGAGGTTGCTAAGCCCAAGCCCGCTCCCGTTGAGGTTGCTAAACCGGCTGTAGAGGCTAAACCCGCTCCCGTTGAGGTTGCTAAGCCCAAACCCTCTCCCGTTGAGGTTGCTAAACCCAAACCCTCTCCTGTTGAGGCTGCTAAGCCAGCCAAACCAGTAGCTGAGCCTTTATCTGCTCCCTTTAAACCCACTCCAGTTGCGCCTGTTGTTTCTGCCCCAGTTCCCCATAAACTCACATTTGCCGAGGCAGTTGCTAGACCGGCCCCAGTTAAGCCAGAGTGTGAGGTAATTGGTAAGACTCCTTCAGAATCCATCTCATCACCCAAACCTGCCCCTACACCTGCTAAAACCCCAGTCAAGGTGGAGCCTGTGATCAAGAACGACAAGGGTATTTTCTTCTTTCTCTTCTTTTGTTCCAACTGCTTCTGCAATCTGGGAACTGCTCAGATGCTTAGATATGCTGTTCTCTTAAAAAGTAATGGTTGAAGTGTACATTAGCTTTGTTTTATATTTTATGTTGTCCTTTGTCAAAGATGCTGCTTAGTTGCTGACATGGAGGCCTCTGTTGTTGGAAACAGGCAGTTGTGTTGCATTCTGTCTGCCATGTTGTACCGTTTTGTTTGCGATCATAGGACGTCTAAAATTCTTTATTTTCTCAAAGATGTCAGCATCGTCTGAATGTGGTACTGGGTAGGAGGGTTGGTTACTGTTTGAAGTTAAATAGCTGAAGTCACAGTGACCCTTTTGCAACATCAATTGGTTGTTGTTGCAGTTTTACATTTTATTTAAATGTTAGGTGGGTGTATGATCATCCTGGGTGAAGACAAATCCTGTTTTGAAACCCTATTAACCTATTTTCATTCCCCAGGATTAATGCAGCATATTTTATGACTTTCAAATATACATGTATGTAATGGTTGGCATGTTGTGACTAAATGTTTTGTTTTGTAGGATCCGGTACAGAGTCGGACAGCGATGACTCAGTCCCTGATTTGGAGGAACAGGATTCTGCACAGACACAGACGCAGCAGGCTCAGGTGAGAGTCTGGTCTTAAATCTCATGTCCTCTGTTGACATGAACCTAAACAGAATAGATTGGATGTTTGTCCTTTACTCTTCAGTGATGATTAACACAGTGACTTTCGTTCTTCTGAGCCTCCTGAAGCCACCCTTTCTGTCCTGAGAAGAGAAAGTGTTTACACAATGACTTGCATGACATCAAACTCCTTATTCCTCGGTGTGCATTTACTTTGTGGACGTAAAATATGGATGAATCTTGTGTCTCTCGCAGCTTGCAGCTGCTGCTGAAATAGACGAGGAACCGGTCAGCAAAGCCAAACAGAGCCGTAGTGAAAAGAAGGCACGAAAGGTAATGAGGGCTCTTAGTGTTTTAAACAGTCTAATTTGCACTTTTCTTTCTTTGTGATGGTCTAAATTGGCCACATTTGTAAAATGACTTGTGTTTCTTTCAGGCAATGTCAAAGCTTGGTCTCAGGCAGGTAACTGGGGTCACCAGGGTCACCATTCGCAAGTCAAAGAACATCTTGTTTGTAATTACCAAACCAGACGTCTACAAGAGCCCAGCATCAGACACATACATCGTCTTCGGTGAAGCTAAGGTATGTAGCCAACAACCATACTAGCCACCTTTAGTCTTCATCCCTTGTAGAGCTGATTGTCCTACTATCCTTTCTAGCTGCAGAATACTGATTGAAAGATCCACTGAGTTGGTCAGAATGGTGCAAAAAGCTCTCGGCTGAAAGTGTTCTGCCAAATAATGTCGTCTTAATCTCTCATTTTACTCTTTGTGTTCTCTAGATCGAAGATCTTTCCCAGCAAGCCCAGCTGGCTGCCGCAGAAAAATTCAAGGTCCAGGGAGAAGCTGTATCAAACATCCAGGAAAACACACAGACGCCAACAGTACAGGAGGAAAGCGAAGAAGAAGAGGTAAGATGCAGTTTTATTCAAGTGAAGATAAACGAATATACTGTTTTTATATGAGATGTAACAAATAATTACTCATGTCATTTTTACAGGTGGATGAGACCGGAGTTGAGGTCAAGGACATCGAACTCGTTATGTCGCAAGCCAACGTGTCGCGAGCGAAGGCTGTACGCGCCCTGAAAAACAACAACAACGACATTGTCAATGCTATTATGGTAAGATTGTGGTAGTAAAGTGGCTGAGTCGTTATAGAAAAGGCCATTTAAATTGCTCACTAAGAGCTTTGTGAGTGAGCATGGAGAACTCTTCAGTGATGATTAACACAGTGACTTTCGTTCTTCTGATTTTACTGAAGCCAACATTTCTGTCCTGAGAAGAGAGTATCTCTTTAATCTCTTTATATTGTGGAAAAGAACGAATCAACACATGTGATAATTAATCTTTTTTTGTTCCCTTTTGCAGGAGTTGACGATGTAATGGGACCCTGGCAACAAAGGGTTGAAGACAGGTTGCTGATTTAAGCTCATTTATACAATTTATACCCATTATGGAAATAAAGTTGTGGATGATAAATCGAAATTGTTTTGGTTTGGAGACTTTTTTTTTTTTTTATTGTGGTCTGGTTGCATGATTGACTGTTGGTTTAGCAGGTAACCCTAAACATGACTAGTTATATCCTTTTTATATGGATTCTTCACTTTTCTATTGTCACAAATAAGTACTTGTGGGTCATGAGGAGCTGGACCAATCCCAGCATCGCATTGAACAGACACCAGTTCATAAGTCCCACTGATTCATTTTATAATTGGACCTCTCTGGATTTAGTAAAAGAATATATATGAAAAATGTCACAAGCCAATAAAGGTAAGGCAATGGGAACCACAGGTTTATGTTTTGTATTGTTTGTAATTCTGATCTGACAAGTAATCGGTAAATACAGCTTTCAGATAAATGTAAAGGTATAAGTAGTGTCCATTTCAAATACTTAAATTGAGTACAAATGCCTACAAATTGTACTAAATGGTTAGCTGTGTAGTTATTTATTTTTTTACCTCTAGTGGCTCATGAAGCTGTTTTTATGAAAGGGTTCCAGTCTTGTTTATCATGCACATGACGACCACGTGACGCATACATGGTCCTACCAATGGTATGACACTATCCCACTGTTCAACAGATGAGCAGCGATGTGCCAATAAAGACGAGGAAGAAAGCTGCAAGCTGGGAACATAAAGATGAAGTCAATGCTGGATTGAAAATTATTTTTAAATGTTTCACCACAGGCAACCAGTTTGTTCATGTTAATTGGGTTTAAAGAAGGCAGCAGCACTGATGCCAATTTGTCAAGACTCAAATAAATACCACGGCTTAATTCCCTCAGAGAGGAGGATCATTTATTACTATAATATACATATAAATTACCACAAGCACAGTATCCTTTGTCTTAAAGGATGTCTTGAGGGGATATTTAACCATTTTGGGGGTGAAGTAAACAGGGAGGCTGTCAAATGCTCATTGCATTCATGAACCAGAACATTTCTAACTTCACTCATTGGACCTCACTTTATAAAATAATCAGTATAGGTATCATTTTGATGATGAATCTCTACTATTAGTCCATTAAAATGTGTAGCTTATATTAGTAATGCCTCTTTATTTACAATTACTAGTACACAAGTGGATGTAAAATTATTTTATTTTTGAATCGGTTAATTGGCACCGCACCATGTTTTATAAATATGTATATCGTCAATGATGGTTAATCTCTTCGGATTTTTGACTAAATTATAGACCAAATAAACCATCCAGAAAATATTTGGGAGATTAACGTGGTAAGTGTGGGTATATACATAAATACATACATACATATATATACACATATATCGAGCCGTATTTATGGCTCTTGTATATTTTATTTCTCTTTTATACACCTATTTATCTGAGTTTATTTCTGTCCTTCCGTGTCGAATTTCTCCTCTGGAAATCAAAAGGCTTATCTCATCTTTTGTTATTTATTTGAGATATTTGTTTATAATATTGTTAATGATTCATGATTAAGGTTATATTGATGCGATCATACTGGGTGGTACGCAAAACCACAGCAAATCGCATTAGATTCGTCCCAGATCCGATTATACTACGCATCACTCGGAGACAGCTGTGGCGGAACACTCTAGAAACTTCTAGTAGAAACGTCTACTACGCTAGAAACGTCTACTACGTTAGAAACGTCCACTACTCTAGAAACGTCTACTACGCTCCACCTGCGTCAGCGCTGACATTCTTCATCCTGTGATACGCAATAAGATCCGCAAGTAGAGTCCACAGAGCTAGAGGCGTCTGCGTTGGTTTGTGGGAAGCATTCCTTAATTTTTCGCGGGCATTCACATTTTTCTTTTCACGAGACTGTTCTACCTACGAAAAAGAAGCTCACTTCGCACTGAGACATGTAAGTTGTGGAGAGTTAACGCGGGGTGTAACAATGGAAGGGAAAGTGCGACGGTGCAACCTGCTTAGCTTAGCTAGCTAACGTTAGCCGCCTGACAACATGCGTTTTTTTGCAAAGGCGGGAGGTTGGCCTTGCCTCAATGGATTTTAAGATAACGTTACCTCGCTTCAACCTCGTAGACTGAGGAAAAAACACCTTTGCAGTTATTATAGCAGACCAGTTGTGTAACAGCATTTACTGAAAAAACGGCCGCGTTTTTTGTCCGATAGCGTTGGCCAGGTGCACCGCATGGCTCTACTAACGTAGCAGCTAACGTTACAGTCAGCGTTGTTAGCTTAGCACAACGGCGTTAATTGAACGACTTCGCCCTATAGCAGGCTATCATTAGATTAGCATCATGGTCTGTGTGTGTGGGGGTGAGAAGTCCGTGATTTTTAATCGCGTTACTAAATCAAATCTGGGACTTGTGTGTGTGTTTTTTTTAATTCAAAGCCCGTGAAAACGTTGCGGCTTGAACGCAAAGTGACCATCGTTTAATCAACGGTTGTATTTAACGCTAGCTAAAGCTACCCAACGTTCATGTGTAAGAGGATTTGGTTTATTATTGCATGTTAATGCCAAGAGCGATATTGTATCTGTAAACATACAGCTACTACTCATGTTAGTTCACATAAAATAAATACATAACGTTAAATAATTAACGTTATTAACTTAAGTCACTGAGTAGTTATTGATTCATGTAACCACTGACGTGACTTAATTCTACTGGGACTCTTATCTTTCAATATCATTTGATAAAAACACCGTTTTTTATTTTTAATTCACGGCCTTCTCTTCTAAATACTACTGTAAAGTTTGATTGATCGCCTGAGCTTCATTTGATTTTAATGTGATGGTAAACCTTGGGACATCACCCAGCACTTCATACAGTGTAAATTTAGCATGATTTTGCAGCTATAAGGTAAAGACAAAAATTACAATGTAAAGGGAAGCTTGAGCCCACCCCACCCAAAACTGTTAATATAACTTGTCATGTTTTAGCATTCACAGGTGTTTTACTTTTGAGGGTTATTGATACAGGAGTGCATTGTGTAACTGGATGCTGCAACCTGATGCATAGGCAGTTTGCTGCCTTCAGGCTCACCCACCTGTCACCAGTACCGATCGCCTGTATTATGCATTTTTTATGGTGTTTAAAACTGTGTCTACGGGTACCAAAGCCTTTACTTTGTAAGGGTTTGGTGATTCACAATTGGCTTTACATGTGTTGATGTTTAGATGTCCTCTGTTTCTTCACAGGCATCCAGCAACAGCCAAGTGGTACGATAGGAGGGACTCCGTTTTTATAGAGTTCTGTGTAGCAGACAGCAAAGATGTTAAAGTCAGTTTTGATAAAACAAAGTTTGGTTTCAGGTACGTTTGTTTCATGTCAAGTTGTATTTAAACATGATATTCTTGTTAAATGTATTTGTTTTGATTTTTCCCAGAAATGAGTTTGGTGTCGATTATTTTATTTCCACAGTTGTTTTGGAGGAACTGACAGCGTCAAGCATGAGAATGAAATGGATCTCTTTGAAGCCATCGACGAAAAGGTAAGTTTGGACGGTATTGTAGATTGCATTGTACAAAATGCAGACAAACTGACCGCAAACTTTTTATTTTTTCCGTTCCACCTCAACGCAGGAGTGCAAACATAATCGCACAGATCGCTCAGTGTTGGTCTATATACGAAAAGCACAGCCAGGGAAGCCATGGCCGAGGCTAACAAAAGAGAAGGCTAAGGTCAGTAATGGACTGCAAAGGACAGCGCGTATCAAACATTTAGAAAGCTTACAGTTAACAGTACGATACAATTCATTTATGCACAACATAAATGAGAGGTCGCTATTTTGTGTTTTCACAGCTGAGTTGGCTCAGTGTCGACTTCAACAACTGGAAAGACTGGGAGGACGATTCAGATGAGGAGATGGGGAACTTCGATCAATTCTCAAATGTAAGAACTATGCATCGATTAGTACGAGTGAAGTCATTCATAATCCTCAAAGAGGTCGACGTTTGAATCACTTAAGAGGAGATCATTTGGATTTTATTGATACTATTATCAATTCTTATCAGTTTGGTTCTTTATAAAGGTTCTCATCAGTTCTTTTTCATTACTAAATAATTGCTTTTAATACATTTTCAACAAAAATAATTCAAAATAGGATTATATATTTAGTATTTTTATTATAACTAAATGTTTATTAGAGCAGCAACAGTAATGTTTACAACAGCAAAGTCACTATGAAATCAATAACATTCGACTGGAAATACATCTGACATGTCGGTACAATAAATATCGCTGACATCACAACACTGAGTCATGTTCAGAAGGAATGAAGTACACAGACATCAGTCGGTGTACTTCATCCTGTCCTCCTCACTCTGCTGGTGATTTACTGCCTGATGTACCGCTGGTAGAGGGAGGGAGGAAGGAAGGAATGCTTTGTCTCAGCCAGCACATTCGCAATAGCACGCTGTGCTTGTGTCGATATTAGTGGCCATGGATGAAAGACAGCAGATTGAAATATAGCTTTACAGATTAAAGGACTGATAACTTCGGAGCTTATCAATACTCATTTTAAATAATTTAGGGACGGATCCCGTTTATTACCGTGTTTCGGTACCCGTCCTTATTTAACCACTCAAAAAACCTACACACGGCATCTAGCCAAGCACCAAAGTGTAAAATAGTGAGGCTAGAAGACTATATCATGAAATATAATGTTTTTAATCTTAGTTTTCCCCCCTTTGCTTCCTATAAATGTTCTTTTAATGACTTATTTAATATCACTCGACACAGAATCCCAATTTGATATTTGTATTTTTCAATACAACAACTGAATGTATCCCACTTTGTGTAAAATGTCAGTTGGTAAACAAAGAACGGCAGCGTCACCGGTTTGTGTCGACGGTTGCATGTCATTCCCGACCTTTCTCTCCTATTTCCACTGTCACTATATAATAAAGGCATTAAATTCCCCCTGAATAATAATAATAATAATAATAATAATAATAATAATAATAATAATAATAATAACAAAAATAGACTGCTGTTGAATTGTTAGTTGATATTGGTCAATAATATAGATACCGTTGTTGGTATTGGGAGACAATTCATCTCTACATTTTTGTAATTGAATCATTCTGCGTGCCAGTTTGACTTAAACTGATTGTCCATTGTCCTACTTTGAGTGCTCAGCTTGATGTCTTTTAGCTGTTGCAGCATTTGCTTAATAATGAGCACTTTTAGTAGTTAATCATTTTGGTTTAATATTACAGATCATGAACGACATGGGAGGCGAGGATGACCTGGCTGATCTAGACGCTCCAGAAGAGGTAAGAATCTAAGCATTAAGCTCATAATCAGAAATAAAAACTGGTCATAAATCAGACTTTATGTTATTATAGTTGCATGTTTTATGTGTAACATTTTCCAACCTAATCCTTTCTTCTTCTTTTTTGGTCCTTTTTAGGAGGAGTCTGCAGATAGCGATGACGAGAGTACGTATTTATGAGACTTTATATCAACACATCTGTAAATGATTGCTGTCATGTGTGTTGAGATGTTTAACGTTATTTCTGCTCCACTTTACTTTCAGAAATGCCAGATTTGGAATAGTTGTCTGTGAGACTCTGGAAAGATAATGGAAGAACAGAGGGCAAGAGGAATCATAACAAATGTATATCTTGAAACTGAAGGCGGTGACAAACAACTGTACATATGAGTCAGTAGCCATATTTAAATCCATAGCCTCAGCTCCAAACTCTTGACCGATCAGTACACTGAAGGTTGATATGCATGGTATTGTACAGAGCAGCTATCTCCACTTCCATTTGCTGTACTGCACCTTTTGGGCATCTTGTTTTACTGTTAACTATTACAAGTAAGCACACATCATTTGTTGGAAAAGCTGTGTAGTTGTTCTCAACCGAGCAATATGTGATAACAGATTTATAATTTGTTTCCGGATTAATTGTGGTTTAAAATGATTAGGTCCACCCATTCCCAATGTTGTGGTTTTTAAGTCGACCCATGTAGTTTCTCATGATTTCAGAAGACACTAGCTATGTACATCAGAAGAACTAGATGCATTTTTTTTTGATTGGGTTCCTCTAAAGCCTTCCATTTGCCGTAAATTAGATATCCAGGAAGCCAGCTTTTGTTTCCGTGATTTAACCTTTCAGCTTACATGTTTCCCTTTACTTCTTGTTTATTGTTTGAAAAATTAGAATATTCTGAAACCATTGCAGCATCTTCCCAGTTTGTCACCTACTTTGGTAATCGGAATAGATTCCACATATTTAGTATCTTAACAGTTCCTCTTTCCATACCCACCTAACACACGCACACACACACACACACACACACTCATGTTAGACTGCAGAAGCAAGGTGAAATGTGAAACAACTGATAACGAGGCTCGAAGCTTAATTGGGCCTCGGCATCATGTGGTGTGTTGCTTTTCTCCAGGTTCTTTCCGTTTGTTCATCTAGAATGATCCTCCCATCTCAGCGAGGGCGTGTCGGACCGATACGGCGACGTGTAATGACCAAATTCTATTTGCACTGTCAATAAAGTGTACGGGGAGACAAATAGTGTTGAATTACAGTGGAAATTCTTTTTTTATTGTCTACATCTTTCTAATAAACTGTTTAAGAATCATCTTAAAGCTCTTTTCTTTTTCTTAAATTACATTTACATTATTAATTTTTCCTTAATATAAAGTGTGCCTTTTGGTAGTTTTGGACCGCATGCATCATTATTGGGGAGTTGTGGGAGCAAGCTCACCGTCTAACCTGGTTACAGATGTAATTTATATTTCATGTGAACATCCTAAAGTAAAGAAATGTTTTTTCACTGAAATATATTTTGGATAAAGTATTTTATTGCAAAGACTACTACAGCAGGCTGTAGGGCAGTAATGACATTTGAATTAAGCTTTGTTTTTTTATAATTTAATATTGTTTTTAAGATTCCTCACGTTTAGCGCTCGGCACTGGATTGTAGACGTGTTGTGTGGAACATTGATTATGAAATTGTTTTTAAGAGACAATGTCCCTTTTATGTTCTAAACTCAAGTACTTTTTAGACATGTCTAACCTAATGGACTACTAGTCCTACTTAAAATGCAGTATTTCTACTTAAGTACCTTTCTGTGTAACTAACTTCTATTTGTGCCTCTTTCGGTGCTAGGACCCAGAAACCTTCTGGCTCTTCGGCCCAGAATATTAGCATACTTCCTCCGCAGGCCTGATTTCCTCACTGTCATTTCCGAGAAAGTGACTATAATTTGCAATACTAGTTTCCTGTTTTTACCCTGGAGCACATTAAAATAAAAGCCTAGATTTTACATATGTATTCAAACTCACATCAGTATTTACATTGGCCATTAATCACTTTTGTTAGGGTTAAACAGCAGTGGAAAGTATATAAGTACACCTACTGAGGTACTGTAGGCTACCTTACTTTTATATTTAAATGTCCTGCGGCTAAATAATTCTACTCCACATTTCAGATTGTACTTGTTACTCCACCTCATTTATGTGACAATTGATACCTATGTATATTTGATATATGTATATATATATAGTATGTTGTAATATACGTCTGCTTTGTTAGTTGAATGTTTACTATATTTACTTACTTTTGCTACTACTTATTACTACTTATTATTATTCATAAATGTTTATATTTATTGTTTTTTTTCTCGTTCTTCTGTCGTAATCTCTGTTGAAACTGGGGCACAAGGATTTCCTTCGGGATTAATGAAGTTCTGTATTATTTTATACACAGCCAGGCACCACATTACATTAATGCATCAGTAATAGTAATGTAATAAACAATAATAAAACAAAGGGGCTATTCCTGTTTCATTAATTACTTTAATTTGATATAGACACATTTTTACAGTGGACACTTTTAGTCATACCAAAAAACGTAATATAGGGTCATTATTATTATTAATAATAATACTAATACATGTACTAATACTATACGGATTTTCTTGTGAAGTCTCGTGAGGACACGTGACCGGATGTGTACGCGGTTGTTGTTGGGACGTTGACGCCGCTCCTCTTCGCTCTGTTCTGTGATCATGGCTGCAATGGACCACACCAGCCATGTTTTGCTAATTTAAAACCCAAAGGTTGGGAATAGTTGTTTTATTATTTAAACCGCTTGTGTTATCTTCACCCGCACATCCGTGTTTTAGACGAAAGGGTTTAGAGGCATCTAATCCGAAGGATTTGGAAAAAGGTTGGATAGCTTTTACCTGAAAATATCAGCGAAACTTTTGATGGTGGCAGTTGTGGGAGGATGATGCTCTGCAACAAAAAAAATGTGTCTTGTGTGCGTGCAGCGTAAACAATGTAACTTCATCTGGCTGCTAGCTAACGTTAGCTAACGTGAACAAAAGGGGGAGCACGCCTCCCGTCTGTTAACGAGTGAGTTAGCCGTTAGTCGCTATCAACAGAACGGTTGGTCTTTATTTTCATCCGCTGATGGGCGTCATGGTTCCTCACCTTCTACCTGGCTATTAGCTAACATCGCAGCTTAAAGGACCGTGCGTACTCACGTTGATGATGCTATCAGTTAGCCTATCTATAGCTAGCGTCTCTTAGCTAGGCTCTATTGTGATGATTTAGCTAAATAACCTTGGAGCTATTGTGGATATTTTTGTATCCGATGTTTCGCATTAAAGTAAACGGTATGTTCAAACCTATTGATGAGCCGAACTACGTGTGTAACGTGCACGGTGTCCGTTGTTAGCTCGGCTGACTAGCGGCGCTTTAAAGGGAATTGTTCTGTTTGAGAAACGCAGCTAGCGCGACTTGTGCTAACGCGGCGCCTGCTTTTTTGCAACGGCCTTTGCTGAATTAGGACATCGAGTATCCACAGAGGGCTACTTTCTGTATTGCGTGTGTGTGTAACTGATAACTGGTAACTGCTTCAGGCCTCGGGAGTGACTATATAATATGATCGGTAATCCCTCCGTTGTTACTGTGGCCGCGGCCGCCTGTTCTTCGGATATACAAGTGTGTGTGTGGCCGTACATTTATCATGGTAGATTTGAGCTTGTATTAGCAAGGCGCCTAATGAAGAGCCTCTATATCGTAATATCCCGGTTGTCCATTACGGGCCTGGCATCTGCTTGTTGCTGGCTGCGACATTTTTGACGGTTGCCGTTGGAACGAAATGGTGCTGTCACAAGTTGCAACTGCCAAAAATCATCGAGGATAGACATTTCGTACATATTTACGTATCGTGTTGAGAGCTGCATGGGAATTAATTAAATCATTCTTCTTTTTTTGTGATGCACATGCGTCTTAGCCCCGCTAAGCATTGACTTCCACTTCTATATGTTTTACTGAATGGACGGTTGGGTATTAGGAGTGTAAATCTGTATTTTTTTTGTTTTCCAGATGGAGTCAAATAATCATTTCAACTATGACAGCCACTCCTCAGCAAACTCAGGACTTAAACTCTCCTCAGGGGATTCTCTTTATACTAATGGGTCCTCCATGAGCTTTCCTCAGCAGGGGAAGAGTGAGTAGTTTTGGCCTGCACTGTATCAGTATGCATTCTATAAAGGTCTGTTTGTGTGCTTTCATAGAGCCAGACTTCTCTTTCTAACTTGCTTAATGTTGTTCTGTCTAGCAGATATGAATGGCGAAATGAATGTGAATGGCGTCACTACTGTACTCGGGTCTGGGGTGCCTGGTTCTCACCCACCAACAGCTCCCTACCCACACATGAGCAACCACCACCAGAGCAGCATGGGCTATGACTACTTGTGGGGAGGTCACCCACAGTACGGTCCAGCCATGGGCAGCTCTCCTGGGCACGGGATGCACCAGAAGCAGCCTACACCCGGGATGGTGCAGCCTCAGTCACAGCACCACTTCCAGGGTCATGGACAGTACCAGCTGAATGGGGGTGTTGAAAGCTCCCACCAGCCCCCCGTGGCAGGCCCACCAAGCATGCCTCTTACTGGGAGTCAGTACTGGAACAGGAGTAACCCTGGCCCACAGCAGATAAGTTATAACTCCCATAGTATGTACGGGACATACCCGAGTCAGGCACATCCTGGAATAACACCGTCACAACATCACCAGCAGCAGTCCTTACAACCCACCCCGCATCAGCCGTCGCAACAGCACCTCCACTCCCACCATCACCCACAGCACCACCACCAGCAGCACCAGCAACCACAGCATTATGGCCTGATGCCTAATGGGATGCCCTACTACCAGCATCAATCCCTTCCGTCTCCCCAGCAACAGCCATCGCAGCAGTCTCAGCCCCAAAGCCAGACTCCGATGATGCCCCCAGCTGCCCAGAATTTTACTCCCACACAGGTCAGCCCACAGCACCACAGCTTAGGCAGAGGGGGCACTGGCAGTCCACTCCCCGTGGGAATATCCACAACACCAATGATGTCACCGCCAACAGTGCAGGATAGTGGATCGCCCAAGGGTCACAGCAGGGAGCGCAGCCCCCATGCTAGCAATGTGGGAATATCTACCATCATGCAAGGTGACCATTTACACTTTTACATCACGGATGTGTTTGTGGAACTTTGTGTCTAATTTTATCACGTCTGCCCTTTTTTGTGTTTCTCTATTTTCCACAAAAAGTTAGTGATATTACATTTGTGCCTGGAATTGGTTAGTTCTACATGTTGACACTACTGGTATCTATTCAACTTCTATTTCCTCATAAATGAAATAGTCTCCTCTACTTCACATTTCCTCCTTAGATGTCACTAGTTGAGTGATATTCATGCAGTCATATGGTCCTCTTCCTCTTTGTACATACTTGGCCTCGTCTTCCCTGCTGCTGATCATATTAAAACACGGCACTCCCTGGTTGCATTTGCTTTCTATGGCATCTGTATAGAAGAGAATTGTTTGTTATTGGTTAATAATTTTAGCCATTTTTGGGGGTTTCAGCTTCTCAAATGTGAAGGTTTTTTAAATTTATTTATATTATTGTTAACATTGTTATTTGATGTATATATTTAGTCTTTTATGGTACCCTGCTAGTTATTTCTTGCACATGAATGTCTCGTATTGGGCCAGGATTCATGCCGGTGCTCAGCGGTGTGTTAGTGCTAAGATTCAACCAGCAGGTGCCAGTGTTTGATTATGTAAAACAGTGACCATCGGACTCTTCAATACATTATACACTCACTGTGAATTCATCATATAAAAAACACTTAACAGCCTTATTGATTTTTTTGTTTATTTCTGTCTCAGGGCACACAAGAGAAGCTGTCAAGGAGGAAGATAGCAGCTATAACGGCATGGAAAGGGCACCTGTTGCCCATAGGCTACCCAAAAGTTCAGCTCACGTGGGACCCGATTACCATCCGCATTCGGAACAGCCGGCAGCTCAGCAACCAGAAATGGCTTCCCCTGTCAGAGAGACACCTACCCTGTCGGTGTCATCACTGCTCTCTGCATCTACCAAGGCCTCAACACCTCCTCGGGTCTCTGAGTCTCCCTCGTCTGCCCCCGGGCCTCCTCTGGTATCACCCCCTGATGTAGAATCTACTCCACCACAAATCTCAACGCCCCCCAATGTGTCCTCTACTCTGTCTCCAGCTGCTCCTCCCAGACTTTCCTCATCGCCTCTAATGAAGCAAGGCCTCAGGCCTGCCACTACTGCTGCGACTGAGACACCCCCTGCTGGATCCAAGCATCTGTCAATGGGGTCCTCGTCCTCCTCCTCCCTGCCTGCATCACCTCAAAAGTTGTCTACACCTCATGTCTCAACTGATAGTATGTCTAAACCTGCAGTTTCTTCAGTCTCTCCTCCGTCATCAGACTCTTTGACTCATCAAACCAAGTCTTCATTGCCTCCTACGTCTTCTAGACCTCCAACAAATGTCACAACTGCCCCCATCTTATCTCTTCAGCAGATGGTTGAAGGGTCCAAGCCACCTCTGCTGACGTCTTGCTTTCCTGATGCACCCAGAGCTCAGCATGAAAAGCCTGGGCCCCCAAAATTAATGTCTGCTGTCTCATCAATGTTTGCAAAATCCTCATCTGCTGGTGTGGCTCCACCTCTAATGTCAGCATCAGGATCTTCAACCTCAACACCACCCGGCTCCTTTACATCAGGATCTTCATCTGTCACGTCTGTCTCAAAAACTCCTTTAGTTGGCAGTAAACCAGGTGACCGAGCACCCACACCTCAGCGCCAGACATGCACTTCTCCAGCTGCTGACTCTGGTTTTTCCACGGTATCATCATCAGCGGTGAACTTGCCCTCCCTAGCAGCCCATGAAAGTCTTACAGTCCGACCTCCGTCTACCCTACCTCTTCTAACCGCTCAAGCCTCCAGGACTGCACCCGTGTCCGGCCCTCCTGCTTTGGTGCCTCTGACTTCTGCAATGGGCACGTCTTCTGGAGTGGTCCAAAGTTCTGACTCTGAGCAGCTTCCTCTTAACACCACTCCTCCTCATGCGCTGAAGCAGTCGTCTCCGAAGTCAGAGCACCGTGGTCATAGTGAGGATAGGAAAGCGTTGGCGAACAAACGAAATGGAAAACCAGAAGAACACCCACCTCGTCCTCATCATCCACAAATCAAGCCATCACAGAAGGTGGAAGCTACTGAGTCTAACAAATCTGAAATTCGATCACCCAAATTCCTCACTGATCTTCCTGGGAAACTCCTGCAGACCACGGTCGCTTCCAAGAATACACCAACAGCCTCTGAAAAGCACCACCTGCAAAGCAGCATCTGTGAGGCAGAGGACTCCATGGGGGAGCAGACTCCACTCAGAAAGTCTTCACATCTCCACAGCACAAGATTAGAAGATCTGACGGATGAAGACGAAAGTTTTAACTCTTCACACACAGCGTCTCACTTTGATGGCAATTCAACATTTGACAGCCCCTCTAGAATTGATGTCAGCTCTGCCTTTGAAAAGACCTTGTTTCTAGACGGCGAAAGCTCACGCGTAGACGACTCCACTCACTTTGACAGCAGCTTTCACCTGACGAAGGACGCGTCTCAGTTTGACAGCACTTCCCATGCAGAAGAGGAACCATCTACTGGGTTTGACACCACTGGAATTAGCGGCTATTCTGCGGAAGAGTCCAGAGATGACACGTTGGACTCCACCAGGGAAACGTCTGAGGCAGAAGAGACCAAGGGCAGCTGTCAAATCACAGGAGAATCCATGCTGGAGTCTCTCTCTCAGATAGAAGAGCCTTCTGATAACTCAAGTGAGTCCAACTCACACCCATTTGTGCCGTCTCAGCCAGGTCAACCGATTCTGTTTTGTACGTCGTCATCCCGTATTTCTGAATTCTGCCAACAGCTTAATGTTCTTGTTGTTTCATCTCAGGACCTGAAGCAGAGTGGGGTCCCCGAGGACACGACACATCAGACTCAGCTGGACGCATTAGCATCAAGACCACTGCCAGTGAGACCATGACTCCCCCGAGTTTTGAGATGAGAGATGAGAACTTCATCGCCTTCAGTACCCCAGCAGAGAGCCTTGCTGTGCACCCACTCCAACCAGTAACCGTTCCTGTTCTGTCAGCTGCTGGAGGACCTCAGAAAACGCCAGGGAAACCACGCAAACCTCGCGCTCCAAAGACATTGTGGATTAAAATCCCAGGTATTTAACATTCTGATTTCAGAAAGAAATGTTAAAATGTTAGATTTGATTTAAAACTTTTTTGTTCCTCTTTTGTGTTCAGCTCCTGAGGAGGCCAAGCGGAAGCCTCGGGCTCGAACCCCTAAAGTGGAGAAGATAAAGACTGAAGAAGACGGAGGCATTAAAGAGGAGGTAGCCAAGGGCAGAAAGAGGAAGAAGTCTCTCAAGGTGGATGTTAAAGAAACATCGGGTGCATGTGGAGAGGCTGGGCCTCCCACGGGAGAGGTTGATACCGTCACAGCCACAATTGAAGCTGTTCTGGCCACCGCTTCAGCGTACACCACAGCAGACGTGAAACCCAAGAAGGCGAAAAGGGCCAAGAAACAAGACCAGGAAGGAAATGTGGCGAAAACGCCGAAACAAGATACAGAAACAGTTGCTAATGATGTTGACGAAAATGATGACGACAGCTCCACTGCAGGTAAAGAAGGCGGTTAGTTAGAGGGGGGCTTCCACTGTAAATGGCATTTTGCTGAGAGTTGATCTCACAGTTTAACAGTCTAATGCTAAATGTGTTTGTGTGCATTTTCTTGAACAGGTGAATCCAACAGACAGAGGAGGGTTGCAACTGAGGAGCAGGTTCAGTTCCCGATGGGACATGGGTAATGTTCCCTTGTGGAGTTTTGTTCCTTGCATTATTCTAGTTTCTCTAATATTCAATAAATCTGAGTTAGCTGGATAACTGCTAAATGACTAAACCCCAGTTTTCAGATAAGTCAGAAATCCTTCACTGTAACTAAATACATTTATTTTTTGCATGTTTTCTGCATTGAAGTCTTGGCGTGCAGTCCTGGTTCAGCTGTCAGTTCATTCTAGTTAAAAAAATATTTCAATGCCAACAATAATGAACTTGTAAATTACTTCCTTCAGTAACTCATCCTGTTTGAGGTCTCAAAAACGTGTTTATTTAGTTTCGACAAGTTTACAAATGTGTGTGCAGTGTTGATGTATTACAACTCGATTTGTAATGATAATCCTGTAATAATGAACTCTGTCAACTGTAGTTGGAAGAGGGAGATTCGTGTGAAGAAAATGGAGTACCGCATGAAGGGCGAAACCTGGTACTACACACCCTGTGGAAGGAGGATGAAGCAGTTCCCGGAAATAATCAAGGTACGTTTTACTGGCAGTTCTTTAAATTGTCTTTCAAGGCAACTTGAAAACATGGTGATGTGTTGACAATGTCAAATCAATGACCATTATTTTCTCTCTCTCTTGCCCGGTCTCCTAATTGCTTCCTCCAGTACTTGAAGAAGCACACGGACAGTGTGGTCAGCAGAGAACACTTCAGCTTCAGCCCACGCATGCCTGTTGGAGATTTTTATGAAGAAAGGGAAACTCCTGAGGTCTGTTTATTTTTCTGAGTGCTGCTCTGTTTATTTTTCCTACGCTATAAGAAAGTATAATCATTCGCACAGCTTAAACTCATGGTGACGCAAACCTGTCGAAGACGTTTTGGGGACTCATCCTTCTCTACTGTATGTTACAGGGTAAGCAGTGGATCCTCCTGGCCAATGAGGAGGTTCCCTCTATGATCATGGCAATCACCGGCCGGCGAGGTCGACCTCCAAACCCGGATAAAGAGAAACCTCGCAGGGTCCGTGTCCTGAAGGGAGGGCAGGTCCGCCGCCCTGGTAGACCTCCCAAACCACAGATGATTGACCTCCTTAGCAAAGTTGACGCCAAGCTTTTGACGCGACTTGAGGCCAAGGGTGAGTGTATTTAGACTGGAGGAGGCATGAGTGTACAGGGATGTGTTTATAGCTGGTATTAAAGACTTGGCAAACAGAAGACTTGCACATAACCTCGAGAATGTTGCACTGAAGCTAATTGTTTTTATTTCCTTTTTACAGAAGCTCTCACGGAGGAGGAAAAGGAGAAACTTGTGAAAATCAAAAAGAAAATGAAGAGAAAGGTATCTAGTTCAGTTCATGTAGTTTGTGGTTTTTAGCTGTGTTGCTGTTGGCACCTCGTCCTGATTTTTTGTTTATTATTTAGGCAAGAATGAAGAGAAGGGAGGATGTGAAGATTAAGAAGATGAAAGCGGAGAAAAAGAAAGCCAAGGTACAGATAAAATCAACACAAAATCATTTGTCAGCGTCTTCCTCGGCACCACCCCTTCCTCACCTCCACCTGTTCTTTCTTTCCTCTGTGCGTTCAGCTTGAGCAAGACGCCAAGGACCTGGATCTGAAGGCTGAACCAAGCGACCCGACTGCCCCCCAGGCCCCGCAGCCGGCACCGGGGTCTGCTGCAGAGCCCAAGAAGCCCGGCCGGAGGAGGTCGGTCAAGCCCGAGGCTCCTCCGCCAGTACAGCAGACCGACGAGGAGAGGATAGCCCAGGGTAAGAGGGTGCTGGGTGCTCGCAGTAAAGCCAAGGCTCTGGCTAAAGCCCAGGCAGAGGCAGAGGCGGCAGCTCAGGCGGCTCTAACAGCTAAGAGGGCGGCAGAGAGGAGAGCACAGACCCAGAGACGCATGGAGGAGCGGAAGAGGCAGCAGTTGATCGCAGAGGAACTGAAGAAGCCCATAGAGGACATGTGTCTCACTGACCACAAAGTGAGTTGTGTTATTGAAACGGTTTCTTTAAGTCTACATTAGCTCTAATTAGAGGGTTTTAATCATGACCTATTTAAAACTTTGTCTCCACCAGCCTCTGCCAGAGCTGTCCCGTGTCCCCGGTGTGGTTCTTTCTGGCAAAGCTTTTGCACAGTGTCTGGCTGTGGTCGAGTTCCTACACGGCTATGGAAAGATGATTGGTCTCAATATACCCAAGGACGTGCCCAGCCTCGCCACGCTGCAGGAGGGTCTCTTAGGCCTGGGCGACGGCCAAGGAGCGGTCCAGGACCTTCTGATGAAGCTGGTGGAGGCTGCACTCCATGATCCAGGCCTGCCCTCATTTTATCAGGTGTGTGATACAGTTTGAACATTTTTTTCCATTAATGCAAGTCCTGATAAAGAGTGGCAAACATTCTAATCTACGTTTTTCTCCTCATCCCAACCTTCAGTCAGTAAAGATCCTCGGGGAAAAGCTGGTTGAGTCAGAGCTGACTCGCAGCACAGTCTCAGAAGTGCTTCGCGTCTTTTTAGAATCTCACGGTTACGAGACAGATGTGTGCAACACACTGAGGACCAAAACATTTCATGCTCTGCCTCCGGACACCAAGGCCGCCATCCTGGGTTTCCTGGTGGACGAGCTCAACAGCAGCAACGTTGTGACGAGGTCAGAACGGGAAATCAGTTATTCATCCTTTAGGTTACTCTTGAACCTAAAGGTTTGTTACTACTGCTACTCTTTTACTTTATTAATGTCTGCATTTTATATTTCAGTGACATTGACAACACATTAGAAAACATGGCAACTTACAGGAAAAACAAGTGGATCATTGAGGGGAAGTTGCGCAAGTAAGATCATGTTTTTCTCTCTTCAAATTCAGATCTTTTTTTTTTTTTGTAATAAAAACACAGAGGGCCGTAGGACGTGTTGATCCTGATTGTTTTCTCTCCTGCAGACTGAAGGCGGCACTAGCGCGCCGTACAGGACGCTCGGAGGAAGATCTGTGTTTTGAGGAGAGGAGGCGCAGTGCCAGAGTGGCAGATGAGGAGAACCTCAGTCTGGAGGAGGGCGGCCTGGCCTCTGAGAGAAGCAACCGCCGGGCACGCAAAGAAGAGCCCAAACTCAGTGATGTAAATATCTGTTGTTGTGATTCTTTTTTTTTTTTTCCTCTATTAGAGACAGCTTTTTCCTACACTTACTTTTGATCGTTTCTGTTACAGAGTGAGAGCCCCACTACTGCCAGCGTTCCAGAGCTTGAAAGGCAGATCGATAAGCTAGCCAAGGTAAGTCAAGTTTACACAGACTCGGCTATTTATACATTTATGCTGCTTTATATTCAATATTCTTCTGCTTTTGGATCTCCACAGCGCCAAGCGTTTTTCCGTAAAAAGCTGCTGCAGTCATCTCATTCCATGCGGGCCGTACTGCTGGGCCAGGACCGTTACCACCGCAGATACTTGGCCCTTCCTCACCTCGGAGGAGTTCTGGTCGAGGGGCCAGAGGAGCTTTTGAGTGAGTCTGAGAATGAATTTGAAAGCAATGTGATTTCTCTTTTTTTTTTTTTTTTAGACTTTAAAACTCCTTGGCTTATCCACCTTCATCTGAACATTTCTATCACGCAGCTTCTGGAGAAGTCCTTGTAGCCGAGGTTCCAGTCACCTTCCTCAAAAAGGAGCCCAAAGTGGAGGAGACCCCCATGCCTACCAGTCCCCCTCCTACTCTGCCTTCCTCTCCTTCCTCTGCTACCTCTGCACAGCCCCACACCTTTTCTCCAGAGGAGGACAACCTCCCCGGCACTGCATCCCTCATGAGCAGGCCGAGAGGACGAGGACGCCCCCGAAAAATCAAACCAGAGGTGGAGCTTCACCTCCGCACGGCGAAGATTCGCCGCCGGCGTCGGAGTAGCGCCAGGTCGGGGGGTGAAGAAGGGCCCGGATCGCCGAACAGTGGCACACAAAACCTCACGCAGGCTGCCTTCCAGAGCTGGCTCAGCCAATCGCAGGATGCAGTGACCAATGGCACGTGCTCAGCAGCAGGGGACGCTCCAGAGGGTAATCGACCAGAGGAGAGCGTGAAGGAGATGGCAGAGAAACAGGGACAGTGGTTCAACCTGCTCCCAAAACAACCGTGCGACGATAACTCTCTGACAGAGTGTCAGATTCCCAGCTCGCCCCCTAAACTCCTCCCTCAGATCACGAGTGCTCTGCCCGCTCTCGCTGCTCCACTCATGCAGGTTTGCTAACAGTCAGAACTATAAATACATTTAGTTATGCTTTAATAATGCACTTTGAGTCTTCTGTGTGGCGTATAAATAAATAATCTCTTCCCACCCTTCAGTCGGACCCGCTCTTGCCTAGCCTGACTCCTGCTGACGTCTTGACCGCAGCAACACCACAGGACGTTCCCTCCACGCTACCTGCTTCTGCTGCTCCCGCTCCTGCTGCCACGCCGGCTCCGACTACCCCCGCCAAGCCGGGGCGCAGGCGGAGGAGAGGTAGCCGAGGCAGCAGTCCTGCTCGCAGAGGGCCAAGAGGAGCTGCGGCCAAGCGTCGTGGCCGCCCTCCCAACTCCGTGTTCCAGGAGCTCGAGCAGCTGTACTTCACTCAACTGGTGGTCAAACCGACTCCAGCATGTAAGTTATGTTTGGATTAAAAGTCTGAGAGATTGTTTCTTTTTTTAAATAGTTTTAACTGGTACTACTTTAGCGACTCCCAAACTATGAGAGAGTTCAGAGCTGATCCAAAGATGTAGGACTCCACACTGCCAACATTTAGTTTACAAATCTATACAGGAACCATATAAATCATGGTTATTTATTGTGTCTTTCTTATTTGTAATGCCTACGTTTCTTTTCCAGCTATGGTGCGTGGCTGGTGGTGGATCAAGGATCCAGAGGAGCTGTATAGCACCTTACAGGCCCTCCATCCAAGGGGAATCAGGGAGAAGGTGCTCCATAAGCATTTGGCCAAACACATGGAGAGTTTAGCTGAGATATGCACCAAACCTATCAATGGTGAGTGTTGGTCATAAATGGATCCTCTCACTTGTTTAGTGGAGTTTGTCATTTTGCATTTTAACTCTGATCTATTAGTATTTGACATCATCCTTTTTTTCCCTTCTGTATCTTTCCCCCTGTCGCACTGTTACAACTGTTCTTGCCGGTCTAGATCCTATATTTGAGTCAAAGTTAGAGGAGAAGGATGTGCTGTTGGAGGCTCTGCAGCAGCCCTGGCAAGTGCAGGAGAAAGCAATGGAGACTGACATCTGCACCTTGCAGTGGGTGGAGGATCTGGAGCAGCGGGTCATTGCAGCCGACCTCCATCTCAAGGTAAGAAACTACCTCTCTTTATTTTCCTATCCTGCATCGTCTGATTAATCAACAATTACAACTGCAGTTGAGTTAACAAAGTCAAATTAAGAGGGAAGAGAGGCATCGGGTTATTCCTGTTTTCCGTCCGTCCATTCTCCTGAACTCGATATCTCAGGACCACCTGAAGTGATTTTCTTCAAGTTTGACACAAACGTCCACTTGGACTCAATGATTAGTTATAATTTAGTGGTCAAAGGTCTCTGTGACCTCATATTGAGAATTCATATTCTCACTTCACACAAAGATCTAATGGGGTAAAAATGATGAAGTGATTTTGGACAGACGCGGATGTAAGGAATACAATCACAAGGCGGTAATTCTACTTTGCAATAACAAGATTGAGGATGAGTGGTTTTTAATGAGACTCTAAGAGATGAGAGCAGAACAGATACTATTGGGAGAAGTTAATGAAACGAGTAGGGAACATGTACACGAACCACAACGTCAGTCGTTCCACACTTCTCACCTCTTATTCACTGTGGTCTCTCTGCTTTTAGGAAATGACTTGAATATAATTTGCAACATTTACTGACATATTTGGCTTGTGCTGTGGCCATATGCTGAGAGGTGTGCATGTGTCCCATTCACAACACAGTGAAAACATCTGAGGTGTAGTAACAACACATATCCGCTTTTTGTGTTTCTACAAGGCGGCACCTCAGAGTGCAGTGACTGATGCTGAATCCAACACAGAGACACCAATGGCAGAATTTCAGGTAACTATGTAAACACGATTCCTCCAGTTCTTTTAGTTAAGAAAAAAAACAAACACCATCTGTTTACTTTCCTCCCTCACTGATACTTAAACTGTCCCTGCCTCCTTTTTTAAGCCCTACACAATCCCAGATCCAGACTCAACACGTGACGACCTCCAATACTATGAACATGACGCTGACCCGCGTGATGACTGGATTGTGCGAACTAAGAAGGAGTGGTCCAACCTGCCACGTATGGTCACACACCCGGTGGACTTGGCAGTGCTGCGGTTGGCCAACCTCGAGCGAAACATCGAGAGACGCTACCTGAAGGAGCCGCTCTGGAACCCCGCAGAAGTGATGCGCCTCGCTCCTCTCACACCGACCCCGGGAGAAGAGCATCCCATGGATGTCTTCAGGTGAGATGGACTTTCTGTCTTTGGAAGAAATTTTGTTCTGTTTTTATATATCTTTTTAACTTATTTTCCTTTTTTAATTTTCTTCCGTTCCAGTCTGGAAAGCGAGATCACGTCGCGACTACGAACATGGCGACAAGCTCTGGATCGCTGCCGCAGCGCTCCCCAGGTCTGTCTGTGTTTACTTCAGCTGGAGAAGGCCATTGCTTGGGAGAGATCTGTGACTAAAGTGGTAAGTAACTTCAACTCTCAAGATTGTTGTTGGACCTTTTTGTTTTACGAACACACTGCACAAACTAACAGAAATATCACCAAATCCCATTAGCTGTCATCTTGACAATAAGGACTTCTTCTCTGCTTTGTATCCAGAATTGCCAGGTTTGCAGGAAGGGAGACAACGATGATTGCCTCTTGCTGTGTGACGGCTGTGATCGTGGCTGCCACATGTACTGCCTGAGGCCCAAAATCACCCAGGTGCCAGAGGGAGACTGGTTTTGTCCTACCTGCGTCGCCCAGGTCAGAACCCGTCCTGTGATTCCCGACTAAGAAAAATAATAATTCATAATTAACAAAGCTTGCAGGATAAATTAGGGCCGTTTTGAATTGAGCATTTTGTGGCGATTGTTCCCTTCAAATGAGTTCTTTGCTATATCAGAACCAGAAACTGGGTCATTGCCAAGTAGGTTTTAACATACAAGGAATTTGTATTTTGGTGCTCAAAGAAAGTACTGCAAAAGTCAAGAAATACAAGAGAGTATATGAAAGATATATGAAAATTTAAAGAGCTGTTCAGCTCCCCGTCAGCTCAACTTGCTTCCTTACTCGCTCCGTCTCTCAGGACGCCTGCGATACGCCGCGCTTGTCCAAAAAGAGGACCAGGGTGAAGAAGAGAAGATATGAAGACGACAGCTCCGAAGAGGAGACGTCAACGCGGCGAAGTAGTGGCGGCATGGCTACGCGGTACAAGGAGACCGTGACGCCTCCCTCGTCTTCCCGTCACTCTGGAGAAGGAAGCGCCGCTAAACGTCGTCGCATGACGACCCGCAACCAGCCTGACCTCACCTTCTGCGAGTGAGTCCTGCCTTTATCCACGTTGAGCAGAATCATCTCATTAATGTTACACGACAGGATTTATAGATAGTTGGTGGATTTGTGTTTAATCATTTTATTTCCTGCCAGGATCATTCTAATGGAGATGGAGGCTCACACAGCCGCCTGGCCGTTCCTTGAACCCGTCAACCCCCGACTGGTGCCAGGCTACCGCCGCATCGTCAAAACCCCCATGGACTTCCTCACCATGAGAGAGAAACTGCTACAGGGAGGGTAAGAGCCGAGTGTGCCTCTCGTTTCATTAATACATTTATTTATTAGCTCGCATTCACAGTAGTTCACTTATTAGGGGCATTAAGGAGCAGTCCAAAAGTCAAAATGGATTTAAAATGATGGATGTAACCATTTCCAAATTTTAAAACAATGTTATCCAACAAAATATTCTGCTTCAATCCATATTTATTGACGTTTTTTTTCTCCTGCCAAAAACCTTTTACTTTCCCGCACCCACCTCTATTAACAGGACGACTAACAACAATATAACGGCTCCACAAATTCCATTCATCTAACCACAATAACACAACATTAGATGTATGCTAGCATTCGGATACACTTCAACAATAAGCACAGAGAACATGAGCAATGGAGACCAAATATAGCACAGAGTCTTCTACAAGCTGCTAGATTGACAGCTGGGATTACTAAACAATATCCATGTTTGTTGTTATCGTTTGTAATGATAATATTGGGCGAGTGGCTTTGGAGGGAGGCCTGCAGTGATGGGAAGTGTTGCCGACTTTCTCGCTAGATTTAGCGACTTTTGGACCTAGTGTTGCTAGCTACTTTCAATGGAAGAGAGTTGGCGACACTGAGCTGGTTCTTCAGTGTTCTTCAACCTTTCCTAACTCTACCATCCACATCTGTCCTTTCCTCGTCTCAGGTACTGCAACTGTGAGGAGTTTGCAGCAGACGCTCAGCTCGTCTTCAACAACTGTGAGCTGTTCAACGAGGACACGTCGGAGGTGGGAACGGCCGGACATGCCATGAGGCGTTTCTTTGAGAGCCGCTGGGCGGAGTTCTACTCAAATAAGGACAAATAGAAGCTTGTGACGTTCCCCCCTGATGGTGGGGCTTGTATACTGTTGGTGCTGTCACCGTCCCAGGCACACTCTCTCCATTACTGCTAAGACTGTCTGGATGTTCTTCCAGCTCCGTGTATAGGTATATATGTATAGATTTTGGCTATTTGTCTGTTATTGTTTCCTCTACTGGGCGAATCTTTTGCAGGCCCAACAGCTGAACTGGCTTGAACTTGTACCCATTCCTCGTCACAGAGAGTGAGAACGCGTCTCTTCACTTTTCATTCCTCCTTTCGTGTCTCATCTTCACCTCATCTCCAGTTTGCATTCTCCCTTTCACGTCCCTTCACAAGCCCCCATGTCCTAGCGCGGCCTTCGGTCAAGCCCTGCTTGTGAGGTGATGACACGGTCTC